CCATTGTTTTAAGACTGGACTAAAACTCACAAAAAAAAAAAAAAAAAAAATACAACTCTGTTCTTCAGAAAATCTTGAGTTATTGTGGAAGATCTTCACCTAAATGGTGAGATCACGTGATGACCACAGAGTCGGATTTGGACTTGATAAGGCCCTAAGCTATTTGGTAAGACTGTAGCTGATATTAGAGATCTTATTCCATTAATCGGAAGAAATTCAAAACTTGATTTAAGAAGAAAAAGGCATATTTATACTGCCATTATTAGACCGATCTTTTCTTACGCGTCTCCAGCTTGGGCGACCTATTCGAAAAGTGACCCCAAGAAATTACACAAAACAAATTTTTAAGACTTATCACGAATGCCCATTTTTACGTTTCAAATGAAACACTTCACAGAGATTTGAAAATAGAGAATGTCGAGAATTTCCTACACAACTCAAATCATAAATTTTTTGATAAGGCGAGAAACTGCTCGCACATGAATTACTTTAAAGTTTTTGATTACGTCATGTTTCCTGAAGATGCCAAGATCAGACCTTTAGCGGCCTTCCTCACTAGGGACTCTAATTTTCCTATATAGTCAGATTTACCTATGCAACATCATCTGTTTTCTGTATATACTGTATATAATTTTTTCGTATTGCACTTTGAAATTCTTCGTATTTTGTATATTTATATATTCACCTTTATTGTATTTTATTTTTTGAAATAAAATTGTGTTTGCATTTATCATGTTTTTTTTCTCCACCTCATCATGAACAACATTATTTCAGACACTCCACATCTTGCTGCCTCTCCTGGTCTTTGGCCTTAAGTTCGATTCTCAGCTTGTGACGTCCTGTGGTCACCCCCCTTTTTCACAATTCTGATACCTCCTGTCAACCGATCCAAACATAGATATGTCGTGTGCCCCTTGTGCATACTTGTCATGAGCCGGACACGTTGCATTTAAATGCAATATCTCGGCACAATTTATAATGAATGAATGAATGAAAGCTATTTGAGATTATGAGGCCCTTTATAAGTATGTTATACTAGATTTTAATACTATATTTTTACAATACTTTAATTTTTTTGAGGGTCTCCTAGCAAATGGGATCCCTAAGCTGTAGCTTGTGCAACTTATATGTAAATCCTGCACTGGATGACCAAGCTAAATATTTAGGAGTTGTACTTGACAAACAAGTAAACTTCAGGCATCACATTCAACAGGCCTAGTATAAAAGCATTCAAAGTATTGTTGAGTATTTACTCATTAATAGGGAGAAATTCTCCACTTAATATGCATCTAAAAAACTCATTTATCTTCAAATAGTTAGACCCATCGTGCTGTATGTTTCCCTAGTTTGGGCTGCATCTGAATGCTCAGACGGATTGATGATTCAAAGATTACAACACAAGGCCATTAGAATGATGCTTAATATGCCTTATTCATCAAAAATATAGTATTATATAATGATATCAATGTTAAATCACTTGATTACAAAACCATCATTTCAATAGATAGATTTTATAAGAAATGTGCACTCTAAAATTATTCAAAGTATCAGCGACTATGATTATATTATTGAAAAACCTGAACAGGATTAACCTATTTTCAGGCCCTAGACATTTTTTTCTGCCAGGTCTCTAATAAGAACTAGACCACATAAAAAATGTTACCTAAAAAATTAGAAAATGGGAAAAAAAATTAATCAATATAAAATATTTCTGGGTTAAATAAAAAACTAATACAGTCAAAAGTTGTTAATTCGGACACCCATAATCCGGACCTCAAAGCTAAAAACTTTCTGCGCATGTGCTGCGTTGGCACATGCGCACAGGCATTTTACGCGTGCGCATAAGACCTTGACTACTGCGCATATGCGTGTGCGCAAGTGCAGAATATGTTTTCGCCTGCGCGTTTAATGTATAACGGACGGTGTAAGCTAAAATTATCTAGTTATCTATTTCAGTTAATGTTAATGATTGCGTTGTTACTTAATCTTCGAATTGGATCCCGCTTATTATTTTTTGCAGACTGTAAAGCAATTTTATAAAAGTAAACTTGAACTTTCGATTATGTCAAATAGAATTTCCGATGCTGGAACTTCCAAAGGATCTACAAAACGAAAGTATGTTTCGATGTCCAGCAAACAAAAAGTGGAATTGCTGCAAAAAATGGATAAAGACATGAAGAATGTGACAGAGAGGTTAGTGAAAACGAAAAAATTTCGATTGACAAGTTAGTCGGTATTCTCGGCACAGCAATTAACGGGACTTGAACAGCAGGACTTAGTAACTGAACAAGAAATTATGTCTGTTTATAGAATTAAAGAGAAAGTATTATCACATAAAATGAAGCAACTTAAACAACTTACATTAAAAGAAATGTTTAATAAAGTAAACAAATAAATATTAAGCTTTTTTTTTTTTTTTTTTTTTTTTTTTTTTTTTTGATACCCTTTAGATCATAATTGTTCTTTATTTCATAAATTACAGTTTCATATTTTTAATTTTAGAATTTCTGCATGCCATCTTAGGAGATTTAAACTGATGATCTATAATCCGGAATCGCCGAAGTCCCGACGAGTCCGGATTAACGACTTTTGACTGTACTTATGTTAATTTTTATTATAAAAGAATTTTCAATATAAAGCAAAAAATTTTAATTTTTATTCCAGTAGAAATAAAAATGTATAGAAATGTACAGTGAAAATTGTTTAACACGAAACTGAGGGGATTGAAATATTTTTTTGTTTTAAAAGAATTTCATGTTAAAGGATACTGAAAAAAAGAAATATATATATATATATATATATATATATATTCAACAAAATTAAGTTTATTAGAGTACATTTTATTTACATAGATATGTATATATGCATGTATTTAATAAAAAGCAATGAATCGAAAACATCCACAAGAACTTAATGAAATTTAATATAAAATTTTTAGGTTTTTTGAGAAACAAAACATTGAGTTTTTGGAAAATAATCTGATATTTTTCTTAGCATTGTCTTTTTTAGCATCAAATTGTTAGCAAATTGTTCAATGGCGTCCATTTTGTTATTCGTTTCACCATTGGAATGTGCGTCTAAATAACTGCACATACTTTTTATGATGTTCCTCATTTCGGATGACATGGGAACAGGAGCTGCATTATTCATTTCATTTTCGTCGTCAGAATATACATTAATGGTATTTTTTTAGCTTTGAACAAACACCAAAATGTCTGTGTGCCATAATTGGGACTCTACACACATTTATCATCAACTACTACAGCGAATTCTTCTGATAATGCAGTAGGACAGTCCATGAATACAGAAAGAGTCGACACTTAATTTAATTAAGTGTCCACTCTTTCAGTATCCACCTTCTCTCTTCCTCTTGGTGCCAAAGAATCTGATACTTTTGAGAATCGTGCATGATGAAAACAATTTTCATTTGTCCTTGGCGTCACTGAATTCCATGTAGAGTGCAACATATGAAGAGACTGAAACATACAGAGTGCAACATATGAACCAAAATCTCTGATTTTTACTCTTACTGAGATGTACTCGTCACCAAATTCCAAAGCCAACTGATGAGAGATGAGATGTTTGTGTGTCATTTGCAGGGGTGGAAGGTGAAAGTAGCTTAGATAAACAAAACTGGCTCAGGCGTCACCCGACCTTAGATAAACAAAACTGGCTTGTGTCGCAGACTATTCCGAGGGTATTTCAAAGCCAAGGTAGCCTCCTTTCTACAAAACATGGGAAACCACCTCTCTTTCATTTCACACCCCACTTAAATCTCACACAGTGAGGCCAGTCCGTAGTTTGTTCATTCCCAGAAAGTAGAGCTTTTCGTGTTAAACAAATTTTATTTTGTGTTAAGAGAAATAAAACGCATGAAAATAATAGTAGTTTGTCGGGACCGTTGTATTTTTTCGTGTTAACTAATATTTCGTCTTAAGTGTCTTTCATTTTATCATACTCAAAATGTTGCAAAACATTCATTTTGTTATGTATGAATACACTAATAGAATTAAAACTGTTTGACCATATCTCATCAAAAAGAATGAAATTTATTTTGTTAAATGTCAAAACTGGTTTTCAGAAAGTATAAAATTAATTTAAAAAATCTTTCCTCCCCCTCTTTCAATTTTGTGGATTTGTCAATTTCCTCATAATTGATATTTTCCAAAGCATTTTGTTCATTGCACAGTAGAGTTGAAGAAGTTAATTTTAATTGGATTGATAAGTTTCCGAAATAATTTTTTACACTTTTTAATACCAAATATGATCTTTGCATTTTATACAGGTAAACAATGGCAAAATTTTTACTTGCTTCCTGCAACTAGATGCAACAATATAAACTGGAATCTTGGCTGAGAACCTATATTAGGGTGGCAATCCAGCTAAAAGCCACCTTGGAGATGGAAACGCTTATCTTGCTGAGGATACAGATCCCACACCAGACTGCATACAGTCTTTATAAAACTTTTCTCCATACCCTCGCCAACAGAAATACCAGGAATTGGTATACCAGGAAGTGTACCACTTCCTGGTCTCAGTACTTGGCAGAGAGCACCCCTATTCACCTGCAAATTTGACTGGTTATTGTAATTTGCTACCCACCAGTAGTGCATGGGCTGTCCTCCCCTCTTTGTGTTGTACAGCATACAGTGGACAGCTGGGAACTTAATAACCAATTTCCCTTGGTCCAACTGTATGAAACTTATCTTCCCTTGGGTTTTAGAAACTGCCAGGCTCATGTTTTTGTGCGCGCAGAGTCTTTATAGTCACAGTAAAATACTAAGCCAATGTGTACAAACCCAGGGGAAAGATACAGATAAATATATGTATAATAAGATTTCTATATTTGGAAATGTAAGTACATGTTTTGTGATTTTTATAAACTGTAGCATCACGGCAACATTATGTTTTAGCATTCAAAAATTAACTCAATATCAAGCTTCATTGTACTTTTTCTTTTCCGTGTGGTTTTTCTCAGATCTAATTGGTAAGATATCATCATGTATGAAAGTATGAAATACCTTTGAAATTTCATAAAAATCTTTGTAAAATAGTTTTAATTCAAAAGGTATTTTCTAATAAAACAAACAGAAACAATTTTATATAAAGGCTTCTTGACCCTGAATGCATGAATCTACATATTCCTCATCGGGATTAACTTAAAAAAAATCCTTCCTTTACGAGACCTATTTTCAGAGCCAGAATAAGCTTTTATTACTGACACATTTTTGTCTCTACTTCTATTCTAGAAACAAATTTCCTAACTTGTTATCATATTTTACATAATATATAACATTATGTATTTAATATATGTGGATCTCTTCACTTCACAGAAATATTCGGCCTTACTTAATTTGCCAGTTTGGCATCACCTCATTACTTGAGTAAAGGATGAAACACCTTCGTATTTATTTATTAATTATTGTTCGTTGAACGGGAGTTGGTTTGTTCCCCTTGAAAAGTCAACTAATTTCCGATCAATGGCAATGATTACTTGCTTTTAATTTAATTTCTTTTTCCAATTGAAATTTTGTTATTCATGGTTTAATTCAAGTCCCCATAAAACATTTTTAACAATTTACATTCAAGTTACTTTTTTTTTCAGATTTTTCAGAATTAAACTTACTGCCTATGGGTTCACTCTTTTTAGATACTTCTACTAAAATTAGAAGATGATATAATCAATATTTCTTTAGTAAATAAATTTTTATTAATATAACTTAATATATTTAATATATATTTAATATAACTTATAATCTATTTAATTTATATTTAACATAATTTTTAACATAATATAACTTAATACATATTTAACATATAAATTGTATAAAATATTTACCACAAATAGGATTGTCATGATAGGACCTTATAAAGATTTACTGCTTTCATTTTTTCTGGAAAGAATTTAGCCGAAATAACTGTTAGTAAAAATAATTTTAAATTATTAGTTTTGTTTGCTATTTCTTGTGATTATACTCTTGGAGAATATTTCTCACATTTATCTAGATATATTTATCAGAGCTTTTTTTAAATTTAGTTGATCCCAGAGAGTTGCATCTATTCGGAGCATCTAGTGGTCCATAATTTTTTTTTTTTTTTTTTTTTTTTTTTAACTGTGAAGTGTTCATTACTTTCTGAAAAATGTTTTACCAATATGTTCTGGTACAAGTCCAACTAAAAAGTATATAAACATTCTCCAGCAAATTAAAATATAATATTGCTTGCAACACATTCACTAGCATGATTTACTATATTTTACCAACACATCTATAGATATATTGATGATGTCATTGCATTTAATAACTACAACAAAATAGAAGTAGCTAATATCTACCCTACATGCTTAAAACTAAATAAAACAAATACAGAACAGCATAATGTAGTCTACCTTGATTTACATATTATTGATTACAATTTTATAAAAGTTTACGACAAAAGAAGAGAATTTAATTTTTCCACACTAAAATTAACTAACTGGAATTCAAATATTTCCAAAAGAGTCATACTTAACACAATTTATTCACAGCTACTCAGAATAAAAAGAATCTGCAATACTGCAATACACTTACAAGAAGAAATTCTATACTTCGTAACTATTTTGAAAAGTAACCTAATTCCTCATAAAATAATTAAAAATACCTTATAATGATATTTTATGCCTAAAGTCCAAAGGACAGTATAAGGTGGATGGCTGATTCAGAGAATCTAATGTAAAAATGTACAGATAATTCTTGTTTATACATTATCTTTCCTCCAAAATTTTGGCACATTACTTTTAATACTATTGTTAAATAGTTTTAAATTTCTATAATGGCCAATTTTACTACTTTTATTAACAAATCGGGCCTTTTCGTTTTTCATAGTAGCTTGATCGCCCGCTAGCTTGAAGAATTACAACTTTTTATTAACAAAATGACTGTTTTTTCCTTTTACTCTTGCTTTTGTGGCCAAGTTTAGTAGTTTTAGCTGAATTAGCCATTTTCACTTTCAGTAACAATTTTTTCTTCCAACTACATGACTGACGCCATTTTGAAATCTTTTCACGTTTTTCCGAGCTTTCCGACCCCCTTCGAAAATTAGAGATGAGTTACAGCTAACGGACAGTCTTTTCGTATTGGTTGATGCCCAAAGGACATCGCTCCCCCCCCTACTTACGCCACACAACTGAAGTACACAGAAGAGAATTACAACCCCTTTTCAACATAGTTTTAAGAGGGAGAGCTCTGCATCACCACAGGTCAGTTTTTTCTGTTTCTTTCGTTACAACTTTTTTCTTGGTCTTAGCAAGACCCATTATGTTAGTTTTCATCTTAATTTTCTTTTAAATTTAATTACAGATTTCTAAAATCTATAAAATTATAAATCTTTAAGCTTGCAGGCCCAGCCCGTATGTTTTTGTATATTTAGGACTAATAGCAGACCGCTATTTATTTTTATTTTTATTTTTGTCTTGCTTTTAGATGTAATCGGAATAGTTTTTACATATTTTAACACCTTAATGTGTCATTTTGTGCCTACACATCGGGAAATTGGAACAGAGAATTGAGACTAATAAATTTTCCTAGGTATTTTACTGTATTTTTTGCCTTTACTAGTTTCCAACGCTGAGTATTTTACTGTGTTTTTTTTCCTTTCTCGTGTAGCATATTTCTCACCCTTCAATGACATTGTTTCTTAAAACGTGTTGAACGTTTTGGAGCCACAGCTCCTGGTAACTTTTAGGTGAGCTTACTACAATTTCTAATTAGATATATGTGTTATATCAAGAGTAGAGTCAATTAGAAATGAAAAATATTTCACAGCTTTAATCTGACATGAATATTTCCAACCTATTTCTTTTTGCTGCTGTTGTTGTTGTCCAATATTAGTATAAATTCATTGCAGATGGATGACAAAAGGTAACTCGTATTACCTCTTTCAACTGATCTGAATTGTTATTTATGCAAAGCTAAAAACTTACCAAGTTGTGCCAAATATTCTAGAGCTGCTATGTAATTTCTACTATGGGAAGCTGAAATGAATTCCTTACTTGCACAAAATGGAAGGAAAATTTTAGCCCAAAACTTTATTGTTGCTACAACCTGTAACTGTTTCTCCACTACTTTTTTTTTTTTTTTTTCGTTCTAAATATTTCTTTTCAGTGATAGTGTTTATACACCCCTCAACTAAATTTCTGCTAAAATTTGGCAGAATACATATGCTCAGTGGAACTTTCATGTTCTTGCGCTCTTATCTTTGCATTTTTCGAGTTTGAGTATCCGTCCGTGAAGTTTGTTCCTTTCAGCGAAAATATCTTCTTCTTTATACTGCTTTATATTACTTTTAATTATTTTTGCTTTCATTGTTATTCTTTTGTACTGTTTTTTGTTAAATTCCATTATTTCTATTTATTCTTGTTTTTATAGTACTTTGATAATCACCAGCTTTAGAAAATGCTCTTCCATATTTAGAAAGGTGAACCATTAAAATCTCATGCATATAGAGTGGTGTGGAGTGTACTGTGCTTACATGTTTTATGCTATCGCACACTATGAATTCCCACTTCCACTGTCACGCACAGCATTATTTACGTACAGTGGATATTTATAACTGTACATGTGAAGAAGAAAAGAAACCTTTAGATTTTACTAAGAGGAAATCTTTATATATATATATATATATATATATGACAAATTTTTTTTCTGTGATCAAATGCTTTGACTGGGCCTGGACATTTATTTTGTTTGTCTACGCTATAGTACAGCTCTGGAACCACCTTGCAAAAGATCTAGGACTGTTCATCATAGCATGCATTGATAATTATAGCCAACTGAAATGAGATGCATTTACTGTAACTACTGTAAATTTTGTATATTTTGAGTTAGATTACATCTAAATTCACATCGTATTTTATTTACTGCCTCTAGATGATGCACCTCGGTAGACTCTGATAATGTGTTTCTTGCCATTTCTGGCTAAAGTCTTTTCCTAAATGGACCTTTATGTAATTTTGCAAAAGCCCTGTAGGATAAACGATGACACAAGTCAAGGTTTCCCTGTAGAAGGTGATACATGCAAAAAAATTATGATCTGTGATGCCATCATTCTCTTCTCCTTCGCAATGCAGTTTATCCATAATGCAAGATGTAGCCACCATCATGTTGAACTCTCTACAACAAATTATTGTTGTAACTAGAAGTGTGTGTTCCCCCCTTATGAACTTAACATACACAATTGCTTTTGACTGAATTGATATACAAACTCATTTGCTATCAAGGATTAGCTAAATGACTTAACATTTGATGGGGATAGGGCATTCAAGCCCAGGATTCATTAACTGAACCTGTTAGTCATGGATTTACTATGGGAAAAAAACTTGCATGCCATTTCAGAAAAGTTAAACTGTGTGTGTTAAAACAATGCTATATATAAATCTATCTGAAGTTATGGCTTTCAGAAATGAAAAATGCAAATTTTATTTTATTAATTGACCAACTGGAGTGGAAAATGTAGAACTGCCCCCCCTTTTTTTAACTCATTCTATGTATATATCCGTTAATTATTTTCTAACATATTTGTTTTTAAATTATTAGAACTGTCTTTCCCTTTTTTAACTCATTCTGTATATTTCTGTCTCACTTATTTTCTAACATAATAATTTCTAAATTATTATTTTAATATTTATATTCAAAATTTATGTATATATTATTTATGTATTTTGATTTTGTATTAAACTAGAACAATTATATTGATTATAATTAATATTCTAAATTTTGGTTCGATGATATCAGTTGTATTTGGCACATTGAGATGTATTTAGAAGGCGCATTGAATTATTTGGCACATTGAAATGTATTAAAATGTATTTAGAATCTTTTACTTTATTTTCCAAAATATTTTCCTTTCTTATTTTCTGTGATAATTTATAAATCATTTTACTAAATTTTAGATTATTAAAATATGTAGTAGATCTAATAGTTAATCTATAAGTTAATAGATGCTATATAAAATCAAAGTTGTGGGTTTTGATTTAGAGTCAGAAATTTAATTATTAATAAGTTTTATGTAAAATGGTGTTTTTCCTTTCAGTACTTCAATGAAAGTTTTCAGCTTTTTTGAGTCATATCATGTATACATTCAAAAATGCCACATAGGGACTAGTCCCGTTAATATGAAGGTTATCAAAAAAACAGATAATAAATATAAATTTACATAACATTCAGCCTTTTTCTTTTCAGGTGGTAAAAAAGGTTCTCCAAAATCAGCCGGTAAAAAACGCAAAAAGGGTGAGAATGAAATCATGTCCAAATCAAAATTAAGAAAACTGCTGAGAAATACGGGTCAAGAATATGTAACAAAAAAGGGTAAAGTTGTTAAGGCAAAAATATTTGATGATAAAGATTGTGGTTGTTCAAAACGCTGCATGACCAAGATAACTACAGAACAGAGACAAAAGTGCTTTGATAAATTCTGGAAAATGGGTGATTTTGGGAAACAGAATGCATACCTTAGTGGCTTAGTTACTCGTGAAGCAGTTAAACAACATAGGCCTCGACTGAACTGCACCAACAGAGGACCTAAAGGAGTTACATATCAGTACCGTATTAATGTCGGTCGTGTGAGTAAACAAGTGTGCAAAAAGTATTTTTTGCAAACATTTCTTGTATCTGATGGAAGATTATCAAGAGCGTTAAGAAAGGAGGAAAATGAAAAAGAACCAGGTGAGGATTTAAGGGGGAAGAAACCTCCAGCAAATAAAACAAGTGAAGAGCAACTGAACAGAGTACGTGATCATATAAACAAGTTTCCTCGTTTCGACAGCCATTATAACCATAATCCTAAAGGAAAATACCTGAAACCAGATTTAAATGTTAAAAAAATGTATTCAATGTATGCAGAACAGAGTATATTTAATAATGTTCCATTTGTGAAAGAAAATATATACAGAAGTGTTTTTAATGAAGAATTTAACTTAACTTTCTTGTCGCCTCGAAGAGATCCTCCTTCTCACCTGGCTAGATCTGATGGTGCTAGGTCTCAAAATAGTACTCCTCGTAAAAAAAATTGTAAACTTCCTATGCCTATGGGACTTGATGGAATTAGACCTCCTCAACCACCGCCACCACATCCCCCACCTCACCCAAAATTTCCAATGGCTCCACAGCTGTTTTGTCCAACAGATAATGCAAAATGTGGTTATAATCATCTGAGTGCACCACCACCACCACCACCACCTAGCTTACCCCAAGAAAAAACTGCTGTTTATAATCCAACTTGTCAGCCAGTTTTAACAAGTACTGCTCCTTTTTTCACTCAAGACCAGGGTGCTCACAATTTTCCCAACCATCAGACACCTAGTTTTTTCAATTTATAATTAATGAGAAAATATCTCTTTTGTGTAATTGAAGATTTCAGTGTGAATAAAGCTTAATGTAAATTTACAGCTTTATAAATTAGTGATGGAAGTGGCTTTCAGATTGCCTGAAATTGAACAATATGGAATGAATGCATCGCTGTATATCCATGTAGTAAGAAGGGCTTGTATTTAAATTTTTTTCTTGTGTCAGTGACTAACCAATATATATTCTCATCATTAGAAGAAACTAGGCAGGAATGCATTAGTTATGAAGTACAAAAAAATTTTAAATCAAGAGTTTATGTATTGAGCTTTTAATAATGTAATATAATTCTCATATTTCACAGTACATTTTTGCTTTATTGTTTCCTTTTTTATGTATAGTTATATACAAAATATTTGATGTAATAACAGTTTTCACCATCAATAATGATTGATTAGCTGCTAGCAGCAAACTGTGTGTATGTGGATATAATAATTTTTTTAAATATCTTTAAAAAAATTTTATACTTTATTCTGCTATAAAAGAAGTGAAAATGTGTGTTGATTGGAATCAGTCAGTTTTTAATATTATTGTATTTAAGGATACTTTAAATTCTTATACATGTAAAAATAATAATAATAATAATAATACGATTGTAGCAAATACTATTACTGAAGGAATTAATGAACAAAGAATGGGCAGTTATTTTTCATTAAAGCATTTGTAATTTACTTGGTCAAAATAGTTGGCTTTCAGGGATAGGAATGGTATTCGTTAAAAATAAAAATACATTTTTTTTAAATTGCAAGTTTACGTAGATTTTTTAGGATTCGTAATATGTTTGGCAGCTATGCTTTTAAGATAAAAAAATGGAGTAAAATAAATACAAATAAAAATTATGCACCAAAAGTTTAGTGCACATTAAGAAACAAATAATTTCTACTTCTATGTACTCGACATTTTAAATGAATAAATATGATGAATGTTATGATTTATTCTGATAGTTTACAGCATAAAATTGTCAAGTAATTATCAGGATAACTTCGTAAATTTATGTTGTATGGCCTGTTGTTCTACAGAAAAGGATTATAAGGCAATCTGCATTTTTATGTTTGGGCTTTTTGCTGTATTTTACTCAAATACAGTAGACTGTAATGCCCCCCAAAAATATAGTAGTATTCAGAATATGGCTATAATAGAGTGAACTGAAAAATAAATAAATAAAATAAGAACCGTAGAACTCCCTATTTGGAAATCAAATTATGGAATGTTTCTTCTCATATTCTTCATCAAAGATTTAAATGAAGTATTTACAATTCCATCTTCAAATTTGAAAAGTTAAAAAAAGAATAATATAAAAGAAGAGAAATACCAAAATTAATATAATTATTTATTATATTGTATTGAAAGAAAATGTTCAAAAACAAAATCCTGGGCTTGTGAAGTGAAATTATAAATGGAGAACCGTTTCATTTAAAAAGTAGTAGGAAAGAAACGTACAAAGTGCAACTGGGTGGTATAGCAGCACTGATAATTTTTCTCTTGAAAATTATGATCAAAATATACAGGTAAAAAAGGCTGTGTACCAATAAATCTAGAATGATGTGAAATCATAAATGGAGAACTGTTTCATTTAAAAAATAGTAGGAAAGAAATGTACAAAGTGCAAATGGGTGGTATAGCGGCACTAATTTTTCTCTTGAAAATTATGATTAAAATATACAGGTAAAAAAGGCCATGTACCAATAAATCTAGAAATGATGTATATATAGCCCAGAAGGTTATACTACTTAGAATTCTCTCTAATTTGTAGAAGTGCAGAATATACAGGGGAACTTGAGAATTAAAATGTTTTCTGTTTTCCAGCTTTATTAGTAGTTCTGTATTAATTTGAAATTTAAATAAATGTTGCAGGACAGGGTTAAGAAATTGGAAAACCTTTTTTATCCTTTGTGTATTATAGAACTAAAGGTTAATTCTTTATTCTTAATAATTAATATAGGGAAGGGGACTGGTCCCTAACACATTGTAGGTATTTTCACATTTAGAAAACATGTACAAATTAACGTAACTTTCAGCCCTTTTTCTTACAGGTAAAAAAGGGAAACCGACTGGTAAAAAACGTGTGAGAAATGAAATGAACCACAAAACAAAATTACGAAAATTTAAAAGGAACACAGGCCAGGAGTATGTCACAAAAAAGGGGAAAGTGGTTAAAGCTAAAGTATTTGAAGATAAAGATTGTGGTTGTTCAAAACGATGTATGACCAAGATAACAGCTGAGGAGAGACAGAAGTGCTTTGACAAATTTTGGAAAATGGGTGATTTCTCAAAACAGAATGCTTACCTCAGCGGTTTAGTCACACGAGAAGCAGTCAAACAGCACCGACCACGCCAGAACTGCAAAAACCGTGGACCTAAAGGGGTTACATATCAATATCGTATTAATGTTGGAAGAATTAGCCGACAAGTATGTAAAGTTTACTTTTTGGATACATTTGTTGTATCTAATGGACGATTAGCTAGAGCTCTGAGGAAAGAAGAAAATGAGAGAGAACCAGGTGAAGATTTGCGTGGGAAGAAGACTCCCGCAAATAAAACAAGTGAAGAGAACTTGAATCGAGTTCGAGAACATATTAACAAATTTCCTCGTTTTGATAGTCACTATGCGCATAATCCAAAAGGCAAATATCTGAAACCAGATCTTAATGTTAAAAAGATGTACGGAATGTATCTTGAAGAATGTCAGTTTAAAAATGTTTCCTTTGTTAAAGAGAATATTTACAGAACTGTTTTTAATGAGGAATTTAATCTCACATTTTTATCCCCTCGTAAAGATCCATGCCATCAAATGCGATCTGAAGGTCCAAAATCTCAAAATCGGCCTCCAAAGAAAAAAAATTGCCAGAAAGCACTTACACATTTAGAACCTGAAAATGCAATGTTACCTATGCGACCTCCACAAAAATTTAACATACCTCCTCAAATATTTTGCCCAACTGAAAATGCAAAATGCTCATATAATCCTCCTATTAATGCAACAGGCCATCATCAAGATAAAGAACCTGTTTATGGTCCAGCCTGTCAAGCAATTTTAGGAGGACCACCTTTTTATCATCAAGACCAGGGTCCTCCTGCCTTTCATAATCAAGCTCCTAGTTTCTTTAATTTATAGAGTGTTTGTGAATAATTACAAGTGGTTTTGAATAATATTTGTAAATAACAATCTGAAGTTTGAAGATTTGATTCTCACTTTAAGTTATAAATTTATAGTTTTATTTTATAGTTACTATTTTATATTGAGCTTGGGGAAGGAGGGAAGAAAAGCTTTGTGTCTTTTGTGCAATCTTTCTGTTTTGGTTTAGAGTCCTAATTTGTTATTAGATTGATGACTTTTTTTATTTAATTTAATTTTTAAAACATGTTAATTAATTTATTTTTAAGTTGAAAGATACTGAATGCCCGGTGTATGATTTATTTCTTGAATTACTTGCATAAATATTTAAAAATGAAAAAAAAAAATGACATTCTTTAGGTGATCTTTCTTAAATATCATTTAAAATATTTTTTGTATAGATGCAACAAATATTCCTTCGTGTTCCAGTTGCTTTTAATTCTTTTTGTGAAGATATTTATGATATGAAGTACCTTGCTTTTATACAAAAAGTAATCTGATTTTTATAAACATGATAATTATGAGCTACTTAATTTTACATTTTGTCTGTTATTTTTTAGTCGAGATTTTGAATATGTTATAATTTAATATTTGTTTGTGCGTCTAATTCAAATTTTTAATCTTATTACTTAGTAATTTTATTATTTAATGATTTAAATTTTATTGGCCCAATCCCCCCTCCTTGAGCAGCTGAAATTAAAAACACGTGGTGTAAGGAAATATAGTGTATGTTGAGTATTGATGTAACATTTGTTTATTGATTGATTATCTTAGATTTTAGAACATCATATTACAAATTTACTTCTATAAATACATGGTCATTAATTACTGCAGTGCATCAGCATTTCATATGCTGGAAAATTTATAAAATATTATTACAGATTTTAAGTTTGTGGAATTTATATAAAAGTTGCTTTATAGTAAAAACCATGTGTCCTATTTTTAATAGCAGAAAACTTTTAATAGAAATTATATTCAGCTCTTATTCCATATATTTATGAACAAAACAACAGTGGTTTTAAACTGGTGGCCTGCCGGCTCATGAAGCAATTTTAGATGGCCTTCAAGTACATTTCAGTCATGTATTTATTGTAAATACAATGCTTATAGTTTTAGACTTGGGGATATGGACAGAACTTTTGTGCACAACTGCCATTGGAAAAAAAAAAAAAAGAGAGAGAGAGAGAGAGATTTTGCTTTATCACTGCATGGTTGTATGTCAGGTTACATGACTGGGATAAGGTAGAAGAACTTCCAACATTGATACAGCCAAGTAAATTTAATATGATGCCAACACTCGATGGCACTTCAGTATTCTGAGTTTTTTTAGTTTTTCCTTTTGAGTTGATATATATATATAATACCATTGGATTGGTATTATATGTGTATACAATACCAATCTAGTAGGAAACTTTAAGTTTCCTTCTGTAGTTAGTTACTTGGGTGTACAGCTTAGCTGCATTGTTCATATAGGTGGAGACAGTATAACTTGTGGTTTACAAAACCTGTTCCTCTCCACTTGTTTTTAGATCTACGTTATATGAGTACTTATCATTTAGAATAGTGGATAATTTTTGAAGTATTGCTTTCATTTTGAAAATTATTCTTGTTTAGTTAAAGTTGGAAAAAAATTATAATAATGTTTAAGAAATTAAAATGCAAGCCATATCTTTAATAAAAGATAACAGAAAAGTAAATGAAGATGGGCCTTGAGTTTCAAGATGAATGAGAAATTATATACTTTTGTGATGTTATGTGCGATAAAATTGTATGCTTAATGTAATAAGGGAATATCAATTCCAGTAGTATACATCATCATTAAGAAGTTAAGAAAATCATTAAGAAAAATTTGGAATGTTGGAAGGCAGATTGAGAGTAGGAAAGCTGCAGTTTCTTAATCTGCTTCCAATGGCAACATTTCTGTGTACTATAATAAATTTAGTGAAGCAAGAATTCTCTTAAAATGTTGCTCTTGCATACATCATTGCAAAACAATTTACTGATAGAAAGTTATTTAGTGGCTAATTTAACAAATTAGAATTATTTGAAATAAATGTTAATCGGAAAATTTTATTTTTAGCTGCTAGTACTTTCGAATTACAGAGTGTAATTAATACAAATGTTTTGCAAGTATCAGAGTTTAGATTTCAGATAGGAAATAAATATAAATTTGAATTTTCCCCCTTATTTTATTATTGTGATTGTTTATGTTCTGATAAATATTTTATATGCAAAATTTAGTAAACATTTTTTTTATTTTATTAAAAATTTTATATTTCCCTAAAAGCAAGATCTGGTTCATCAGTTGTTTTCAGATTATGCATTTGGCCCGCATATTATTTGAATTTGAGACCACTGAGCTACATTATGTTTGATTACGTGCGAGAACGGCGCGCAATGAACTGGAAGTTGATCTGTCAGCACTATCGTTATCTTCAGGGCAGATGTTTTTATTTTATTCAGCTTATAATTCCTTACCAAATGTAGTATTTCATCTCGATGTACTCCGTCTTTGATATGATTTAAATCAAATTCCTCGTCATTATAAATATCACGAATACAAATCAAATAGTTTTCTGGTTGCAATTTTCTAATTTCGGCTATGCGTAATGTATGCTTTATGCATGCGCGAGTTGAAAGAAATGTTTAATAAAGTAAACAAATAAATATTGAGCTTCTTTTTTTGTAAATTTTGATACCCTTTAGATCATAATTGCTCATTATTTTATAAATCACGGTTTCATATTTTTAATTTTATGATTTCTGCATGCCATCTTACCAGATTTAAACTGATGATCTATAATCCAGAAAAATCGATAATCCGGAATCGCCGAAGTCCCGACGAGTCCGAATTAAAGACTTTTGACTGTAGTATATATATATATAGCCAAAGGAATGCCCTTTTCATGAGTTGCTAATCTGCACTAAACATTTTATTACATAATCAGAATTATCAATTTTGTACAGAAAATCATAAGCATGTAATAATGAAATATATTAATTAATATTTTAGGTAAAATGTTTTAAAATTTTGTCCATCTCATGCTATTGGATTACCTAAAAAGTGTTATTTTTTGTTTGATACTGACATTATTATTCTCTGCATTTGTAAACAATAGTGGCAATAAATGCAAAGAATGGTAATGTTTGCAGAATGATAGTAAAAGTTTCACGAGTATTATTTATGATGTAATATGTACCCATTTTGGCCATAATGTAAAAGTGCATTTTCGTTTTCTTGAATGAACGATCCTAATAGTGAATTCAGTCATTAAAATTCTTTCATTTAACTCTTAAGAACTTTGTTAATAAACGATTCCTGAGTGATTCACCAGCAGGCAACAATTTAAGCAAATTAGCCGGAATGCGTAATTCTTCATATTTGTTACTCTTCTGGAACTATAACTGTTGCCTTTCGGTGCTATTTTGCCGCTTAATTTCGATATATCTACCTTAGTGCCTGTGCGGATGATATAAAATGTAAAATAAGAAACATTTACTAAAGTACTATACTACTTGTAATTTGTTACATACATCACCGTGTAGGTTTTGGTCTTTTATGTAGTCTTTTTCTTCTAACTGTGGTATTGACACACTATTTAAATCAAGTATCTAAGAAGAAAGTACTCGCAAGAAAAACCAAGGATTTGATGTATGTCGACCAACTGCGTGACTAGTGTGGATTATTTTTGTCGACAATTGCGTGAATAGTGTGGATTATCTTCTTTTGAAGAGTTTAATCTTTTCCGTTCCGAATCTCAGAAATTGTTGATTTCAGCTAAATTTGATCTACAGGGATATGATCTACGTCTATCTTCACCCACAGAAAACAACTGCGAAGGAAAATAAGTTCCAGTTTTAAGATAGAAAGAAGTTCCAGTTCTAGCTATCTTGGAATCTGCATGACAATACATTGTCGATTGACTTAAAGACATCCACTAATGAAGAAACGGTCCCAATAAACTAAAAGGAAGACAACTGCAATACCAAATCGTCCGGGTTCGAATCCCGGAGAAGGCATTGGATGTAAAATTGTCTGTCCTCTCATAGGAGGTAACGGTGGCCGCCTATTAGGTGCCTCCAGAATAAAATGACCGCCACTTGCGGCGTTAGAAGTGGTCAGTGCTAGAAAGGCAAGAGACCGTCGTAAAAAAAAGTTATGATTACAAAAATGTTGAAAGCATAAATTCTCGTGGGGCAAGGAACTGCCATCAGAGATCGCAAGAAAATACCGGAAATGGAAAAGTCAACTATCAGAAATCAAGAAGATTAAAATTCCTCGAAAGATTACCAGGGTAGAACTTCGACGCGTTTATACTTACACGTATTTTGCGACGCATGCCAGTCGTCATATGCAATATGTATTTTCTTGAGAATGGAAGCAAAACATGCAGTGACTTGTCAGCTTGTGCAAGCAAGATCCAATATTGCCCTCTTAAAAAGGCAAGAATATCCCGATTAGAATTACTTTCTTATAATACCGTTCTAGATTCACCAACACCGTTAAAAATGATTTGAAGTTAAACATCGTGAAAAAGTGTTTCTGGTCTGATTCAATGGATGCCCTCTACTGGGTCAAGAAGACGGATAATTAGGGTATATTTGTTTCTAATAGCACTCTATTAGAAACAAATACCCCATTTAGAAGTTTGACATCAACCGATCAATGGAAATAGGTATACCTGGATTACATATTCCCTGCTGATCCTCCATCTCAAGGATCTTCGGCGAAAAAAACTAGCAAAACGAAAATGGTGGGAAGGTCCTGTATGGTTAAGATATTCAAGAGATGAATGGTCGGATTTCGAATTGATGCCAAATGTAACCGTAAATTCAGAAAACGTAAATTAATGTAAGATAACCGTAAATTCAGAAAGTATCCTCTATAAATGAAGAGAAAACATAATTCTTTTATCGAATAACTTTTTTTTTTTTTTCCCTTTCGTGTGTGTGTGTGTATTTAATTTTTATGCCCGGATTTTGCAAGATTTCGTGTTCCTATTAATATTACAAAATGTAAATACTTTGTAAAATATTTTGTGTTTTTAAATTACAAGTATTATAAAAGATCTTATTACCAAGTTTCGTCCAAATTGCTTGCATACTTTTTGAGCTATCTTCAGTTTTCCCTTTATTGCTTAACATTCGGAAACTAATGTATTAGCAAGCTGTTATACATACTCTAACAATAAGCGTATCTGCAGGTTTCTTGTTTAGCTGACTAAACAGAACCTTCTTCTTCTGCAGCAGGGGCGAAAATAGGGTTGAAGAAATATGTGCCCACGCAATAAAAATAGACGAATATTTCAAGTAAGTTTCTAGTTAAGGAAGAAGAAGAAAGAAAGCTACTAACGCCATTTATTGACAAAGCGAAAGCAACTAAGTATTGAGACTTACCAACGTCCGCAGAGTTAAAGCCCCTGAACACTGGTTTGTTCGGTCCGGGGTTCGAGTCTCGGCAGCATAGGTTTTTGTGTGTGTGTGTGTGATTTTCCCTATTTTTAACGTGGATACGAGCCAACTTTGCCTTAAAATGTCCTCCACGGGGCATCCCTTCCTTTCCATGTAGTGTGTTTCCATGTATACAGCATATAATAAAATGGAATAAACCAGGAAATGACTTTAAAAGCTGAAGGTTTAGAAGGATCATCATTTCGGATAGTTTTCCGGCGTTTGTGATGGAATATAGCACCCTTTTGAGTCACCAGATAATGCACATGTCAAGCCATATATTCTTCGCTGAATATATTTTATGTCTTCCGCGGCGCGTCTTTGCGGTTATTTCAAAATTATCGCCAATGGCCTAAAGCTTGATCAATGACAGGTCAAAGCCCCTGAGGTTTTGTGGGTGGTGACTCTAGATAATTAGTGCGTTGGAGCGTTACCTAATTTGCCCATGGCGCTGCACAGGTGCTCCGCACACTTTGTCCTGTCCTGTCCTGTATCTGAAATAACACAGGATTGATTAAAATTAGGTGGGAAAATAGATAAGCGTTACATTTCATGAATAGGCCCACCAGCGGCCGAGCGGTAAAGTCGCTGAACACTGGTAGTTCGGTTTGAGGTTCGAATCCCGTGAACAGACTGGCTGCATGGGTGTTTTCGTGGTTTTCCCCATGTGTAACGTGTATACGAGCCAGTTTCCCTTAAAAAATCCTCCACGAAGGCATCCCTCCCCTTGAGCAAATGGCCTTGGCGTGCTTTGCCATGGTTGAATACACCACCAACCATTTCATGAATACGAATGTAAATATTTACTTTGATTAATTTTATTATTTTTTCTGAATTTGAAGCATGCCAGTCATTCCAGTAATTTTTTCATGTTTCTTAAACTTCGGAGAATAGCTTCAAAATAAGACATAAAATTGCTAGCGGAAGCTGCTTGTGTACAGTTTTTAAATGCGTACTTATTTTGGAATTTAAATGTTTAGAAACAACACCCAGGATTTTTTCTACGAGAAATCTCGTATAAATAAAGAAAAAGAAGAAACGAAATGTACTCCAAAATTTTGATTGAACGTTTTTCATCAATAAAGGTGAGTTCTAGAAGAAAAGATATTTCTGTTTTTTTTTAATAAAAAGAAATTTATATGCTTGAATAAATTATTGATCTTTACTATTATTTAATAATACATATTTATTCCATTAAACAGTGGAAACGCTTCAAAACTATTCAATTAGAAAATAATGCAAAATTTAGTGAAAAGTTTTACTTGCATATGCGTCTTTCCATGCTTTTAAACCTTTACAAATACTTTTAAGATCGATTAGAGTAGAAGTTAAGGAAAAGTCGATAGTCTGAATTCGTTTTTTGAAACTTCGTTGAGAATTTTGCTTTGTTCAGAATTCTAAGCACATCGCAATTTTCTTGATGAAATATCGATTTTTGAAGTTTAATTCCTTAAAGACTCTTTATGATAAATGTTATGTTTATTTCACTATTGATATGTTTCTATATTTCAGTATGGTGATTATAATCGATATTGTGGCTCTCTGTCCTTCGTTTTCTAAATAAGTATTTGGAAAAAGAACGTTTGTGAATATATCATTTCGCTTGACATTTCTCAAATGAATACAAAAGTTTCTTGCAATGAAATATGTATTGACTCAATTACCTACTAAATGTAATATTTTGAATGTTTTGTTATTATACACTTGATTTCAAAGCAAGAAATGGATTTTTTATGATCAATATTTCGTTACAAACGTTACTGGCACCAAGGAATAAAAAGTTCGAAATGGATTGTACAGGAAAGCTTCAGTGGTTTCTGAAAAAAAATTCTTGCTTGACCAATAAAAATAAACCTGGTTGGATGTTTTTTTTATTTATTTTACCTAACAAAATGTGTATGAATCCATAAATTCAAATTACTCTATCTCCATTTGCTTATGTTATCACTATACACTAGCTCACATATTTTCAGTAAGAATTTGAACTTTTATTGTTAATTAAGCCTATTTAAAGTTAAATGTGTTGCTATTGTTAATTTGCTTTTGTTAACTTTTCAACTTG